AAAAAATGGACGGTAGACAACATATTGGTTCCAGCCAGTTGTAGTCATTTTAGCAAGTTCCAGTAATAAAGCGTACTAGTTCTTGAGTAAGTGGCTAGGGCATTTCTCTGTGACTGGCATACTATACAATCGAAAGACGAAAGAAACCGCGAAAACATCATGGATAGAACGCATCTTGTACAGGACAGATACTGGTATGTCTTAAAAAAGAAGTCAAGTTTACTACATAGAGTATTGCGCTATATTTTACGTGCGCCATTGTCCATGCAAAAGATATACCTAGAATGTTGCTAATTATTTGATGACAACGTGGTTGGCGGGACTAGTTTTAAACACGTTGTGCGAGCACCCAGGATCATTTGAGAATTTCTTTACGTAGGGGTAAATAGCATTCTGCTAAACTGGTTTATCGAAATGATTGAGTCGTCCAAGACTTGATCATCATTTATAAGATGCACTCTTTACGCTAAATTTCGTTGTTCCTCTCTACACAGAAAGGGCATCGAACTAACTTCTAGTTTTCGTTTTTTTTATCATCATGAGGCTTGAACCTAGAGCACGCTAGTCATTTGTTATACGATATCATAAGTTCGTTCTTCCCGCACAACAAAAAACAGAAATTCGTCTCCAGAATATATCAGATTGTTAACTGAGTTTTGCAACTACTTTTATAACTTCTCTTTCTTTGCGAACGGCGCAAGCAAATCTTGCCATCATGTGAACTATGACGTAAGCTAGGCACAGCTACAGTTCTGCCAAATTCTGATGTCGCCGCGAGGGATACGGTAAGGGTATGGTATGATGGGAAAAATTGAAGAACTTTACAAATTTGTTTGAACCTTTGCATAGGAGGTTTATCTGACATGCTGATCACGAAGACGATATTGGATTCGCACGGTAGGGGCTTTTGTAAGATTACGGTTGGTTTACGGTATGGGACTTCACCATAAACAAAAAAGATGCGAAATGAAAAATGATAATGATATTCATATTCGGCATGTCAAATAACCCTAGCATGCAAAGTTTTGGCCAAATCGGAGATTACGACACCTCATCATTGGCCCTTGCCCCAAGCAGCTTTGCGTGCAACGGCTCTTCTAACTTTATGAGGGCGCCAAATCTCGAGCTTTCCTCGAATTCTATTTTTTTACTGAATTTTTGCTGAATGAGTCAACCTTCATTATCAAATTATGCATACTTTCGAATCTTTGTGTATATTCAAGGTAAACTCGGCTTTATTTTTACTTATTATTGCATGAATTCGCGAATTTCACCATTTTCGAAAAGTTCTTAGATTTTTTATATTTCGTCATAGGAAAGCGAGCGATTTGTCCCCGCTCATAGCCTACACGAAGTATATTTAATATCAAAATTTGAGCTCATTATGAAAAAGGGAAAGTTACGGACTCAATTGCAAATTAGTTAACAGCCTAATACTTCGGCGATGAGTAACGCGATATCTGAGACTATAAACAACATGCACATTGCCCGTAGAATCAAAAACTTGGAGACCACGAAAAGCCCACAAAGTAGATGCTTCTTTCGTATCCACTGGTTTTATATAGGAGCATACCATAATAGTCATCCCCGATTTGGTGTGCTGTACAACTTGTTTGCAACTGCACATTTACATTACGGACTGACAAATGTGAGTCGAAGTAATAGCAGGGGTCAGCGCCATAGAAAAATCAACAATGAATTACATGGGCTTCGCGTTGAACTTCAGAATTCTGAACCTCTTTTTCCAGATTCTTCGCTGCGACTTTCTCGAAGGTTCTCTGCCACTAGAAGCCGCCGATGCCATCATTTTCGATGTTGGGCTTTTTCACTCATTGTGGGGCATCCGCGGTTGTGTTGCGGAATATTTGGATGGCGGATTTGGAAGATTGGCTTGGTGTGTGTCGCATATCATATCTTTAACGGTTTCGCTGCCCTTCGCCTTTGTCTCCAGGCCTCGACCATATTTTTTATGGCCACTTCTTATACAGGTACGCAAAGTTTGCTATCAACCTAACCATTTTCTTCTCATTTTTATTAGTTCTTGTTTGAGTATTTTCCTCTGCAACTTCGTATCTTTTTTCACTCCGAATTCGAACAGCGTAAGAAATGTTAGCCCTTCTGCCAATATCCCGTTATTCTAAACTGCAAAATTATTTGATGCGTCAAGCTTGAATCTACTTATTCTTGAACCCACCTATTCTTCTTTTGATGCCGATTCAAAAAGAAGGTCGTTAATTTTATTTCACGCACACCCTTAGCTAACGAGTGTCGTAAGCTTATTTCAACAGAAAGAGAAGCTGTTTTTGGTGCAGAAAAGTATAAAAAGCTTGAAATCAGGACATAATTATACAAGGTGTTAATACTTACATTAAATTGATCGTTAGACCAGCGGATTAGTAAGTGTTATTTGTCAAGCCGTTGGCATAGTCTGTATCTCAAAAGTGATCGCATACTTTTTTGATTTTCCAGTTTCTTACTACAAAAAAGTTTCGAAATTTCTGCGCATATGCTTCGGTTTTGCATTTGAAGGCGAGGACAGGTGAGGGGTCGCTCAAAGCGAAAGTTCCCTTAAAATTTAAGAACTGGGGTACGGGATTTCAATACTGACAGGCTCAGTAGAGGTAGTGAACGCTGTATGTCGTTTTTGAGGGAAAGCAAAGGGGAACCCGTAAAGCTTCCTCCCGGAAACCTGACGAGATATTAGAAAGCACAACTTTTACTCTTAGCAAGCCCGAATCTAAAGTTCTGACGTAAATCCCAGTGACAGGTAGTTAACACTTTACAACATGGCTAGCGCATAAACCCGTGTGCACACGATTTCAATGTGTCAAAACACAATCTTCATGCACAAAAATATAATCAGTTTGTTTAGTAAGCAATCTTAAGCCACCAAATTTGGTGTGTACATCAGCGGCGATGATC